GGAAGAATATAGTCAGTTACCAAATACATTGATGAGCTGATGAACTCCTTACAACAGTCTCTGGAAACAACAACAGAGAACTTAAAGAACACTCAGGGAAAGCAAAAACATTGGTACGACAGGAAGGACAGGGAAAGAATATTTAATCCCGGAGAAGAAGTATTAATGCTGAGACCCATTAAAGGAAATAAATTACAATTAGCTTGGTCAGCTCCACATAAATTAATCTCTGAAATAAGTGACGTGAATTATGTACTTCAGGCGGAGGGAGAAGAAGGCAGAAGGGTTGTACACGTCAATATGATCAAGCCATATTATAGAAAGGAAATTTTTTGTTTTCTATGGCATCAGAGAGACTCCCAATGAAAAACCTGAATTGCAGTACAGTGGAACCTCTGCTTAAGAACGTCCCTACTTAAGAACGATCCAACGTAAGAACAGCTCTGTTCACTAAATTTTGCTTCTACTTGAGAACGGGGCTCCAAGATAAGAATGGAAAAAAAACTTTCCTGCCCTTTTTTTAACCTTAGGTCATTTTAGGTTAAAAAAAATCTCCTCCTAGTGGTAGAGTACAGATTAACCGGCTTTGCATTAGTTCCTATGGGAACTAATGCTTCACTGTACAAATGTGCCTCTATATAAGAACAAAAAATAGCCGGAACGGATTAATCGGTTTTCAATGCATTCTTATGGGAAATTTTGTTTCAACTTAAGAACACCATTCCATTATGGATTAAGTTCGTAAGTAGAGGTTGCACTGTAGGGCTGGTTAGTCAGAAAGAGAGGGGACAGCTACTGAGAGATATAGGGCTGGTTAGAAAATAGGTAGAGAAAGTAGCAATGATATAGCAAGAGAAAAGAAGTATGTACTGGGAGAAATGTTGATGATGTGCTTGTGTATAATGTTTATCTGAGAAATCTCTGTTATTATTCAATCTGCTTCACTTCAATGAATAAGTTCTGTTTCTGTTCACAAGTCAAGTGTTCAGACAAACATCATTTATATTGTTGATTGAGGTAAGCCACTGGTGGCAGTGAGAGGAAAACACGATGTGAGCCTTTGTGAGGGAAAACCAAGCAGGGGCCGCAAGGGCGAACACCACAGTCCTTATACAGACTAAAGGCACCATCTAGAAAATGTAGACTCTTGACATAAACCAAGCAAGGTTTGCATAGAACATTCTTGACAAGTAGTTGAAGAGAGCACAGTATCTAGAACTGACACCCTAATTTCATTTCCAATTATACTTTCTTTCTCACCTCTCTGTTAAAAATTGCTTTACAGTTTTTCTCATTTATGTTTTAAAATCTTAATCTCATAACTTTCTCTAGTTCTTCTCTTTTTTGATATTCAAGAGAACAGAAAAAGATAACAGGAGGCAGAAATTAGCATTTCTGACTTTCTGACTTTTCTTTTTGGAAAAAAATGTTGCTATAAAAACCAAATATAGAGACAGGTACCGAAATCAGCAAACAAGTACAGTGGTGACCCGCATAGTGATGATAATCCGTGCAGCCAAAATCGTTGCTATACGGATTCATCACTATGTGAAATAAAAAAGCCCATACGAATGCATTAAAACCCGTTTAATGTGTTCCTAAGGGCAAAAAACCTCACCTTTATGCGAAAATCCTCCATGCGGCCACCATTTTCGCTGCCCGGTAAGCGAGGAATCCGGGCCAAAACACAGCAGGTGGCCATTTTGCCATCTTCTCTGCTCCAGCCCCTCCCCCTCCCTGCCTTACAGCTGATGGGCAT